CGGGGTCCGGGTGTCCACTCTGGTCCCCGCTCCTTCCACAGGGCTGTGCTTCATGGAACATGGGTTCCCACCACCATCCTCAGCCGGCAGCCGGGTGGGCAGGGACGAGGGCGGATGCCTCACTGTCCTTAACGTCTTGTTGAAGTTGAGCTTGAGTGCATTGATGTGCACACGCTATACGTGTTCAGCGTGTTTAATTCTCACAAACGAGCAAACCTGCTAACCAGCACCAGAGGCCCCACGACCCTTCCTAGTCCCGCCCCCACCCGTGTGGCTGCCGCCTTGCTCTCCTTGCCACGCGTCCGCTTTCCTGGCTGCATCCTCTGTGGGTGGATCGCACCGAGGCAGCCTCATGTGTGGAGGCCGCCCCCTGGACGGACGCTGCAGCCTGTTTATCCGTCTGCAGTTCCCGAGGGGCTGTCCCCAGCCGGGCAGCCAGGAGCATCCTTGCACACGGCTTTGGTGGACGTGGGTCCATGTTTCTGTTGGGCGCAGACCAAGGAGTTGAATTCTGGGTCGTGGGGGTGGTCATCTTTAGCAAACAGGCCCAGCAGTTAGCAGAGCGGATGGAGGTGGTAGGTCCCTTTGGTGACAGGAGCTCAAATACGCTGGTCCTGGGAGTGGACGTGGGAGCGACAGAGGCCTGTGCGCTGCAGGGCGTCGGGAGTGTGGTGGCTGGTGCCCAGTGTCCGGGGGGACCCGAGGCCGGCCATGGTCCAGCAGGCCCCCTTCGTGACGCTGCAGGCGGACGCTCTCACCTGCCCTTCTTGGCGTCCACGCAGTGCTCTGTGGACCCCACACCCAGCGACACGCAGGACACGCAGCCCCCTCGCTGGGTCCTGGAACTGGGCAGTGGGAGAAAAGGCCGCTGCGAAGAGCAGTCCTGGTGCAGACGTCCACGTGGAAGGTCCTGCCGGCTGCCGTCTCCATGGGGACCGCGGTGGAATCGGCCATCCTGGGCCGCAGCCCTTCCGAGACGCCCTGACCCCCAACCAACCATGCGTCTCTGGCTCCGACCGCTCCATCCTCCCTCGGGCGCCGGCGTCCTGCGTCAGCTGAGCTGCAGGAAATAGAAAGCGATCGGTCAGCGTGCGCCTGGTGTGAGCGGCCGGAGGGGCGTGGGGTTCCTGTCGCCAGTCGGTGCGGGAAGCCGGTGCCTGGCACCAGGAGGCGCCCAGTCGTGGAAGAAGACGCTTTCCCGGTGCCTCCAGGGCTGGCAGCGAGGGCAGTGGGCACAGGTCCCCCGGCCGGCACCAGGGGAGGAGGCCTGACCCCAGGAACAGCCCGCGAACCCCGCTTAGGTGGCGACTGCAGTGCTGGGGGCGGCTGCCTGGGCGGGTCCAGGGGCGAGCTGCAGGTCCACGGAAGCTCCTTTGGGACCCGACCAGGAGTGACACCGAGGGACGGCCCCTCACCCCTGAGATGCAGAGAGACCCCGAGAGCCCACGCTGACATCGGGCACACACCTGGGCCAGGCCCCGCACCGGTCAGGCTCTCGGCCCTGCCCCTGGACTGGAGGCTGCCGGGTTCTCGGTCGTCTGGGGCGATGAGAGCTGATGTCAGGATGGCCCCTGGTGGCAGCCCTGGGAAACCCTGCCGTCTGCCGGCCTTGCACCGGTGACCCCGCTCTTTGCCCTTCTGGCCTCTGGGATAGAGACGTCCAAGAGCATTGGCGTGGATTCCTTCTTAAAAACAATTTTATTGAGATGGAATTCACACACCATACAATCCACACACAGTCATCGACGCAGCGGTGGTCAGTCCATTCACACACGTGTGCCCCCACCGCTTGTCAGGTCTGGGTGATGTCCATCACCCCCAAGGAAAGCCATTCCCTGGAGCTGTCACCTCCCCTCCCCTCTCCTACCCCCATTCTCCCAGCCCCAAGAAACCAGGAATCTGTCTGTCCCTGTAGAGCTCCTATTCTGGATGTTTTGTGTAATGGAATCACACAGTTTTTGTCCTTTTTAAAAAAATTATATTTTTTATTGACTTCAGACCACCTGGTTCGTAGGTCGACTCTCAACCACTGAGCCACCCCGGCCGGGCCCGTTTTCTGTCCTGTTGGGTTTGGCTTCTTCACTCCACATTTCCTCGGCGCGTCTGCGCTGTAGCGTGGGCCAGCACTTCATTCCTGTGTACGGCTGAGTGACAATAGTCCATTGTGTGCAGAGACCGCATTTTGCTTAAATGCGTCTGCTGCTGGACACGGGGTCTGCGTCCACCCTCTGGTGCCTGTGAACGATGCTGCTGTAAGCGTTGCGTGCAGGCTTTGCGTGGACAGGTGGTTCCGTTCCTCCTGGGTGTGCACCTCGGCGCGGAGTGTCTGGGCTGTGCGATGACTGCGGGTGTGGTGATGGAGGGCGCTCCGGCTGTTCCTCAGCGGCTGTGGCGTGGACGTGCCCACAGCCGTGCGTGGGGGCCCTGGTTTCCCGCCCCTCGCCAGCACGTGTGTGGGCCGGCATTTCGGCTCCAGAGATCCTGGTGGGTGCCACGCGGGCTCGATGTGGTTTTGGTTCGCGTCTCTAACAGCTAGTGGTGTTGGGCATCTTTTCACGCGTTCATTGGCTCCACCGTGTATCTTCTTCAGAAAAACATCTATGTGAGTCCTTTGGCCATTTTTCAATTGGGTTGTCTTTCTATCGAGTCATAAGAGGCTTTTGCCCTAGCTGGTTTGGCTCAGTGGATAGAGCGCCGGCCTGTAGACTGAAGGGTCCCGGGTTCGATTCTGGTCAAGGGCACATGCCTGGGTTGCGGGCTGAATCCCCAGTAGGGGGCGTGCAGGAGGCAGCCAATCCATGATTCTCTCTCATCTTTGATGCTTCTATCTCTCCTCCCTCTCCTTTCCTCTCTGAAATCAATTAAATATATATATACACACACACACACACACACAAAGAGTACTTTATACAGTATATTCTATATACAAGCCCCTTATTAGATACATTTTTCACCCATTTTGTATTTGTGTTTTCGTATGCTTGACTGTATTCTTTGAAGCACAAGTTTTAAATCTGAATGAAGTCCAGTTTATCTTTTTTTGGTTGTTTGGGCTTTTGGTGTCATACCTAAGACTCTACTGCCAAATCCAAGGCCATGAAGATTTGTCCCTGTTTTCTTCTAAGAGTTTTTACAGTCTTAAGTTGTTGTTGTTTTTAAAAAATATATATTTTTAAATAGATATTTTGTTGATTTCAGAGAGGAGGGGAGAGGGGGAGAGAGAGAGAGAGAGAGAGAGAGAGAGAGAGAGAGAGAGAGAGATGATGAGAGAGAATCATGGTTCGGCTGCCTCCTGCACGTGCCCTGCTGGGGATCGAGCCTGCAACCGGGCATGTGCCCTGACCAGGAATTGAACCGTGACCTTCTGGTTCCTGGGTCGACGCCCAACCCCTGAGCCGGCCGGCCGGGCATCAGCTGTGTTTCTGTATTCGGGTTGCCTGTTGCTTCTCGCGCCAGCGCCGGCGGCTGTGTCTCTCTATCCGGTGGGCTCAGACCCCACAGCCGCCCTGGAGGCCTGTCTGTGTTCAGTCAGCGCTGACATTGAGAGTCCGATGTGCCAAGCCGTTCTTTGTGCATGAGCTCATTTAATCTTCACAAGAACTCGGTGAAGTAGGCCGGATTCACATCTCCACCTTGTGTGCTAGCAAGTGGAATAATGAGCTGGTCACACGGCTAGGAAATAATTGCGCCAGGACTTGAACCCGGGCGGTCAGCCACACAGCCCCCTCTGCTCCCGCCCTCCGCTCCCAGGGCCCCGCTCTGTGCTGGGAAGGAAGTCCAGAGACCCCAAACCTGAGAGAGGAAGGTGCCTTAGGCCTGACCTGGGCAAAGGCCTGGGGGTGGGGGTGGGGGGTGAAGGAAGGCCCCCAGGGAGAAAATGATGTGTGAAGCGAGCCTCCAAGGGGGTCCAGGGCAGGGCGCCTGTGGGGTGACTTTGGGGGTGTGGCCCTCCCAGGGCTTTGTCTCTTACATCTCCTCCCCCAGGTGCTGGGAGGAAGAGGGCCGTCCCAGAGAGCCTCCCAGCAGGTCTGTTTGAATCACTGGGCCTCCTCCCAGCTGCTCTCCTGGACCATTTGTGTGACCATCGCTAGACGGAAATGAAGAGCCACCAGCTATAACTCAGCACAGTTATTTCTGCATAACGACTCCTGTACTTGATGCAATGACTGTAATCTTTATCTGTCGCGGGAGCTGGTGGCGGAGCCCCTGTGGCTTAGCGGCAGAGCCAGGGGAAATTTGCAATTCGAGTTAATGGCCCTTCCCACGCAGCCTGGGAGCCAGGGCCTGCAGGGCCTGGGGCATGGCGGCCCCTCCTCCCTCCCGCAAGGAGGCCTGGCCTCCTGGTGTCCTGCGCCGGCTTCCTCCGTGTGGGGTTCAGGGCGCTCCCTGCTCTGTCTGGGAAACTGCGCCAGAGACCAGAGGGCGTGGCCACACGGGCCCCCAGGGCAGAGGCACATCTGGCCAGAGGGATGTGCATCTGGGGAGGCAGGTGGCCTGGGGTAGAAGGTGTCTGTCACCGAGCCGGTGACTGAGCATGTTGGTCGTGATGCCTTCTGGTCATTCGTGGCTTGTGGGGCCACAGCTGGGGTGGATGTCCTGCGACCCGCCCTGTGCCAGGGTCTGGCAGTTAGGTGTGGCCGCAGGCGCCTGAGTGACTGGCCGCAGCACTCAGTGTTGCTGCAGCTCTTGAACCTGGGTGGCCGACAGAGGCCACAGGCCACGCCCAGCTCTGGCTCCAGCCCCACCCCAGGGTGGCCCTGCCTCACGGGGGACTTCTCCCATCGGTACTGGGGTGGTGTCCCTCCCTCCTGGGGCAGGAGGTGCATGGGCCATGGCCCCTGCCCTGAACGGCTGGACGGGCCAGGAGCCAGGTTTTCTGCGCTTCGCGTGGGGCTTGTGAAAGCCGTGGTCCCCCCACTGGCCACGGAAGCATCGGGAGGGAGCGGCGTGGGCTCTGGGCCGGGTCCACACCCGAGTGACCTATTGGTCCTCCCTTCCAGGGCATGGTCTAGTGGCCCCGGCAAGGACGGGAGCTGGCCCCCGAGGCTCTGATCCCTGCTCTGTCTCCACCTCCGCTCGGCCTTGGGTAAGTCACGCTGGGAGGCCTGCGGGCGGGGGGGGGGGGGGCGCGGGGGGGGGGCGGGGGGCGGGGCTTTCAGGATGACTCAGGCTGACTTTGCAGTATCACTTCCCGTGGGCGTCCAGGCAACCCTCAGCCACAGGGTCCTGCGTGATGGGCCGTGACGGGCATTGTGGGCCGACGGCCGGTGCGCACATGTGCGCACACACTGGGCACACGTGACTTGACTTGGCATTCTCATCTGTCACTGCCAGCGGGTCTTTGCTCAGTGCCCAGGGGCGGGGACAGAGGGAAGCTGCACAATGAACGAGTGAATGAATGAATGAATGAATGAGCGATGAAGCGATGTCCTCGCAGTCGAGCTGCTTGCTGGCACCTGGGTCAGGGCCCCTCGGGTCCAGCCCACACCGACCCTTCTCACTTCCCAAGGCCGCCAGCACGGTCCCAGGTGTGGGCCCAGGTTTCTGAGAGCACCCAGACCCCACATGTTCTGTCCTGTGGACCCTTGAATGTTCTTGGACTTGTCAGACACCGTGCAGACGTTTAGCTCAGACGTTGTGCACTGGGAACACGCTCCACAGTCCATGTTCACTCTGTGGGCTGTGCTGGGACCGCGGGGGGTCCTCCAGGAAACGCTGCGCAGGTGGAGACCCTCTGGGCCAGGGAGTCTCGATGGAGCTCGGAGACCTGGGCCTGGCGAGGAAGGCCGGCTCCCAAGACGGGGCTCCACAGGCCCCAGTCCCCTGTGACGCTGCGGGGCCTGGAGGCGCTGGGGCTGGGGTTCGTCTGCAAGGAGCCCCCACAGCAGCCGGACCCTCCTCCTCCTCCTCCCGACTTCCTTCCTGTTATCAGTTCCCATGTCCTTCCCATGTCTTTCCTTTGTCCTTCCCGAGTGGCAGGTGCTGGCTCCTTGGTGGGGATTATTCCTAGCCGGGCCCTGGGTTCATGGAACTCAGCGCCAGGTCCTTGGGGCGAAGGGTGAGCGGGGGACCTGGGCCCCAGCCTGAACGCCAGAGTCCGTGGGTTTGTTCTGGAACCAACACTCCCCTCCGCCCTGCCCCCCCCCCCCCCCCCCCAGCATGGTGCCGGCGCCAGCAGGAGCCACCTGGGCGCAGAGAAGAGGAGATCCAGGCCTGGCCTTCCCAAGAGACGGCAAGGGCTGTGAGGCCTCTCATACCGTGTGTCCCGGCGCTCAGCACTGGTGCACTCAGTAGGTGCTCACGGATGTGCTGACGCGCACTCCTGTGTGTGAGCCTGTGCAGGGGCCCCGGGCCCTGCAGAGCCTAGGGCCCCTGGTGCTGTGGTTCCTAGAAGTGGCAAAGGCAGCTTTTATGAGCCGTCTTCACTCCTGGTAAAAGCGCCCCTTTAACGACCGCTGAGGACTGTGGCCGCTGAGGCGGCGGCCGGCCTGTGGCCCTTCGTGCGCCTGACCTTTCAGCCTGGCCGATGCCTTTCTTATTGGGAATGGCGTGCTGTGTTTATTTCTTCCCCAGACATTAAACATGAATCAAAACCTGAGATGATTCACTGGAAGTTTTCTTCCAAGATTAAAAACACAAAAGGAAATGCGTTTGGGTTCGTGTGCTGAGCCATAAGCGACACCAGACAGGCGTTTGGGGCAGCCTCCCGCCAGGGGCACGGCCGGCCAGGGGCAGCCCCTTGCAGAGTGGGCCTTGCCCAGCGGACGGAGCCCGTTGTCAGTGGACACAGAACCCAGGGGGCCATGCGTGTCTTTAAAATACCTCTTAAGTCTAACATTTATAACGAGAGGCCCAATGCACAAAATTGGTGCAAGAGTAGGCCTTCCTTCCCCTGCTGCTGGCCCCGGCTTCCCTCTGGCACCGGGGACCCAGACTTCCCTCCGGCCACCGGCAGGCACCAGAACCTGGGCTTTCCTCCAGCCCCAGCTTCGTCAGGAAGGATGTCCGGAATGACGTCTGGAATGGCATCCGGTCTAATTAGCATATTACCCTTATATTATTATAGAGACGTTTCTTACAGACTGTTTCTATCCAGGATCTCTTAGAATGTGGCCAGGCCTCAGTGGTTCATTTGGGCCCATGAATTGAAGCTTTAATCATCGCCGAAGCAGGAACCTGGCCGCGCTCTGCTTTCACCGTCCACTGGGAGACGCGCTAAGCGGGTGATCTGCCAACCGAGGTCCTGCAGGGAGGGATCGATCCCAGCTGAGAGGGTGAACTTCCCAGCCGTGTGGAAGACGCCCTGGGGGTTCACACAGAGACCCCAAGACCATGTGTGGGGCTCGAGGGCGCCTCGGGCCTCGTTGTCCAAAGTCACCTTGCACAGACGAGGAAAGTGACGGCCGAGATCACCAGGCCGCGACTCTGTGCTGAAGGGGAAATGGCCGATGTCCTAGTAGCAGCCAGTTCTTACCTGCTCTCCAGACGCCACTCCTCCCCCTGCCCCACGGCGCTGTCCTTCAGCCCGCCGCCTTTCCCTAAAAAAGAATTCACAGGCACTTTAAAAAAAAATGTCTTTATTGATTTCAAAGAGAGGAAGGAAGAGAGAGAGAAACATCAATGATGAGACTCACTGAATGGCTGCCGTCTGCAGGCCCCACACTGGGGATGGAGCCCACAACTTGGACATGTGTCCTGACTGGGAATCAAACTGTGACCCCTGGTTCATAGGTCAGCACTCAGCCACGGAGCCGCACTGGCTGGACTCACAGGCACTTTTCCAGGTGTTTGTGGACTCAGACCTGACAAACTGGAACTGACCATCAAGGGGTTAGGCCGAGTTCCTGGGCTAATGGCATGTTTCCGCTCCCTGCCCTCCCTAATGCGTCTGTTCATCTACCCTGCGGGCTGGTCCTGGTCTCTGCTGTCAGACTGCTAGTCCTGTCGCTGCTCAGGGGGATGCCTGGGAGATGACAGGCCCAGAGCTGTGTGGCCGGGACTGGCGTCAGCTGGGAGTGGTCCCCCAGAAACTCCAGCCTGAGAATCATTGAGGCCAAGACGCTGTCCTGAGCTCCCTGCCTCCCAGGATAAGTTGGAGGCTGGCCCTGGCCCCTCTCCAGCCACAGCCCCCTTAGCCAGCCCTGCCCAGCCACGCTGCTTCTCCACCTCACACCTCCTGGCCCACGGCAGCTCCCTGGTGCGTGGCCTTGTCCACGCGAATGTTGTCCCTGATGCTCTGACTCCGCCACGCCTTCTTCACGTCAGGCCCACAGAGGTCCCTTTTACACCTCACGGTCCTCGTGCATAAAATCCCTGTGCGAGCTCGGCGAGTGTGCAAAGTGGCTGTGGAATGAATGAGTGAGTGGTAAACGAGGCTGTGGAATGAATGAGTGAGTGTGTGAAGTGGTTGTGGAATGAGTGAGTGTGTGAAGTGGCTGTGGAGTGAACGAATGAGTGAGTGTGTGAAGTGGCTGTGGAATGAATGAGTGTGTGAAGTGGTTGTGGAGTGAACGAATGAGTGAGTGTGTGAAGTGGCTGTGGAGTGAATGAATGAGTGAGTGTGTGAAGTGGCTGTGGAATGAATGAGTGAGTATGTGAAGTGGCTGTGGAATGAATGAATGAGTGAGTGTGTGAAGTGGCTGTGGAGTGAACGAATGAGTGAGTGTGTGAAGTGGCTGTGGAATGAATGAGTGAGTGTGTGAATTGGCTGTGGAGTGAACGAATGAGTGAGTGTGTGAAGTGGCTGTGGAATGAACGAATGAGTGAGTGTGTGAAGTGGCTGTGGAGTGAACGAATGAGTGAGTGTGTGAAGTGGCTGTGGAGTGAACGAATGAGTGAGTGTGTGAAGTGGCTGTGGAATGAATGAGTGTGTGAAGTGGCTGTGGAGTGAATGAATGAGTGAGTGTGTGAAGTGACTCTGGAGTGAACGAATGAGTGAGTGTGTGAAGTGGCTGTGGAATGAATGAGTGTGTGAAGTGGCTGTGGAATGAATGAGTGAGTGTGTGAAGTGGGTGTGGAGTGAATGAATGAGTGAGTGTGTGAAGTGACTCTGGAGTGAACGAATGAGTGAGTGTGTGAAGTGGCTGTGGAATGAATGAGTGTGTGAAGTGGCTGTGGAATGAATGAGTGAGTGTGTGAAGTGGCTGTGGAATGAATGAGTGTGTGAAGTGGCTGTGGAATGAATGAGTGTGTGAAGTGGGTGTGGAGTGAATGAATGAGTGAGTGATAAACGTGGCTCATGCTGTTTTCTCTAAGAGGAAATTCCTCGAGTCCTGGTCGCTGCATCTGGGATGTGGTGGGAAGGCCCTCCTCTGAGAGGCCACCCCTGGGGGCTGGCGGTCAGGGCGTCCCGGGGCCAACAACCAGGCAGCACTCGGAGCCTCGGCTGCAGCCCGCGAGCTGAGCTGGCCGAGGGCCTGCCCGCCAAGGCCGCCCGGGGTCCTTCCATCCTTTCCCGCATTTCCTCTGAGAGCAGGAATGCCACTGACCTCCTTCTCCCGCCCGCATGTGTCCCGGCCTCTGTCTGACTCTGCGATTGAGGATTGAGCCCGTTCAGCAGCCCCGGGCTATTTGATCATAAACGCTGGGTCAGCCCTCTGCTTTACATGTGTCCAAGTCCTTTCACAGCCTCCATTTTCTCTCCTCACGGCTACGCTGTAAAATCAGCAGGTAGGGACCTTTATTCTCATTTTACTGTCAAGGAAACTGAGGCCCAGAGACATTAAGAGACAGCCGAGCCCTAGCTGGTGTGGCTCAGTGGATAGAGTGTCAGCCTGCAGACCGAAGAGTCCCGGGTTCGATTCCAGTCAAGGGCACAGGCCCGGGTTGCGGGCTCAGTCCCCAGTGTGGGGCGTGCAGGAGGCAGCCAATCAATGATTCTCTCTCATCATTGATGCTTCTATCTTACTCTCCCTCTCCTTTCCTTTCTGAAATCAATTGAGAGGGAGAGAGACAGAGAGAGAGAGAGAGAGAGAGAGAGAGAGAGAGGGAGAGCGAGCGCCAAGACCAAAAGGCTGGGGTGGAGGAGGGGCTGGGAGGAGCCCTGGGCTGGGCCTCTAGCTCGGCGCCTGCTGCCCGGGGTGAGCC